TTTTATTTATGTGGTGCTGAGGATTGAGCCCACGGCCTCACACATGCAAGATGAGTGCTCTACCACTGAGCTACAACCCCAGACCCATTMTTTTTTATTTCATGTTAAAACTTTTTTTTAACTGGGAGCTCTACCACTGAGCTGCAACCCCAGCCTTTTCTTCATTTTTTGAAAATTTGAGATGGAATTTCACTAAATTGCCCAGGCTGGCCTTGAATTTCCAATTCTCTGTCTCAGGTTTCTGAGTATCTGGGATTTGCTTCATGTCAAATATAATGTCCAAACAATGTTGAAGTATTTCCTGAGCTATCTATTTGAGCATTTACAATCATTTAAATAACAATAGTTTTGGGGTTGGGAAAATATCTCAGCGGTAGAGCAATTGCCTGCAATGTTTGATGTCCTGGATTCAATATCCCAGCACCACTATCAATCAAAATCAACCAACCAACCAGTCAATCAATATCCCTAGTTCTTGAACTGCTCATTCATGTTTGAGAGCATATTACACAGAGGGTGCCCATAGCCTGTGGTAAAACTTCTCCAGTAAACTCCAGGCTGCTGATACAGAAATGAAAACAATAGTCTAATAATTTTTTGTTATGTTTCCTAGTGCAAAAAGGCTGTAGAGTTTTCCCCAGATTTGATTTCTGAATGTGAATTATTTTAACTATGACTTTACAACAGTAAAAYGAGCTCTCCTCAATGTTATTTTGCTGTGTTTGGGGAAAAACATACAAGTCTCTCTCAAAATAGAGAATACTAATCCCTGTCAATCGAAGCTGGCAAGGTCTCTGCTAGTATAACATTCACAAAAGCCTTGTGTATCTCCTGTATATGTAACAGGGATTAACTTTATTAGGTAAAAGACTCTTTCCATAGTTCTTTCCTAAATAGTTCCATCTATATTCCTGACTATTTTAACTTCTCTCATAATTTTCCTTATATTTTACTATAAGCAGCAAAAAGAAATCAGGCTGCACTGTCAATATTTTGTCTGGAAATCTCAGCTAACTGTCCACGTTCATTGTTTATGAGTTCTTCCATGTAACTGCAGGTCACAAGTCAGTTAAGTTTCCTGCCAGGATATTCACTTTCCTCTAGTCTACAGTAACATTTTCCTCATTTTTGAGCTCTTACTAACAGTAGTTTTAACATCCATACATATTCCTGAAATCTGCTTAAAATGAATTGTATATTATATGAGGCAATATGTGTTTACCACCATATTCTCAATTCCATCTGAATCCTCATTAGTAGAGTTATTAACACAACATTTCTACTAATAATCCACTCAAAGCAATCTAGGCTTTTTCTATCATTGCCCAGTTCAAAAATCATTTTCATACTTTTAGTTATTTATTATAGCAACACCCCATTCCAAGTACTAAAGTCTGTATCAATCAAGATTTGACCAGAGAAACAATTTGAGCAAACTATGTGTTTGGCTAGACAAGTCTAAAGTCTGTATGGCAGTTAGTTAGGAATTATATTTGGAAAACTGAGGCAGAAGATGAATCTCCTTTGCTTYGGTGGAATTTCTTTATCTCATAGACGATTCAGCTCTGTTTTTCATGCCTAACAATTGGTTGAATCAGATAAACCTAGATTATTTATGGTATTCTTTCTATTTTAAGTTTAGTTGATCATCTACTTTAATACTGTCTGCACATTAATTCTACTTGACAATGTAACACAAAATATTCACAGGTACCAGGAATTAGAAATATTCATAGGAAAAAGGAATTAGGATGTAGACAAGTTTGGGGGATACCATCATTTCTCCAAATGTTTTCTTGAAATAATTCAACTGCTTCATCAACATATCTTTTATTAAATTTTGTTTGGTTAACACATTTTCATTATACAATGCATTTTTTTTCTGAATTCCTCATCAACCAGAAAAATATAATTATCCAAAGGCAAGTAGATACTGAGATGTTGTACCATTAGAAACTCCTCAGTGCCCAGAATCTGGACTCTTTGGGAATTTTCTTGCCTGTTCTAGTAAAAAAAATGTTTTTAATCACAGTAACCAAAAGACCTGACAAGAACAACTTAGAGAAGTTAATATGGGGCTCGTAGATTTAGAGATTTCAGTCTATAACTGGCCATCTTCATAATTCTGGGTCAAAGGTGAGTTAGAACATCATGGCATGCTCATGGTGGAGGAAAGCAGATCAGGACATGACAACAAGAAAGCAGAGAAAGCTCTGCTCACCAGGGACAAAATATAAACCCCCAAAGCATGCCCCCAGTGACCTGTCTCCTCCAGTCCCAACCTTCCTGCCTATAGCTATCACCCAATCAATCCACATTAGTGGATTAATTGACTGATTAGGTTATAACTCTCATAACCTAACCATTTCACCTCTGAACCTTCTTGCTTTGTCTCACATGTGAGCTTTTGGGGGACACACCAAATCTAAATCATTACATTTCATCTCTAATCCTTAAAAGCTCATGCCCATTTCACAATGAAAAATATATTTAGTCCATTTTTAAGGTCCCCATAGTCTTAACAGTTCCAACATTACCCCAAATTCCAATTCCAAGTCTCCTCTGAGACTCAAGGAAAACTCTTAACATGAACACCTGTAAAAATCAAAAGCAAGTTACATATATCCAATATATAATGCACAGAGTAAATATTTCTAGTCCACAAGGGTATAGAAAGAAAGGATGAAGACTGAAATCCAGCTGGGCAAATAAGTTCTGAAGTTCCATGTCCAGCATCTGGGGCATATGGCATTATGACATTTTCTCCAAGGGCCTTGTACAGCTCTGCCCTTTTGGCCTTGTTGATTACAGCCCCCACAGGCTCTTTCTTGGCTTGTCTCTCCTCAATTCCTGCAGCTTTCTTTAGCAGATGTTCCATGTTACTGGTGTCTCTTAATCTCAGGGATCTCCACTGTAGTTTTGATTTCCTTCTCACATCTTCATTCACTACTCTTTTAGAAGCAGCCACAGGGTCTCTCCCTGCTACACTTTGCCCAAACACCCAGTTATTCTTTTGAAATCTCAGTGGTATCCTCTATTAACCACTTACTCCATTATCCTGTAATCCTGCAGAACCAGCATTACATGGTTGATGCTGCCACCATCTTGAGCAGCAGCCAAATCTCCTAGGATCATGGATGCAGCACCCTCTGAGTGCATGGGTGGCCAAGCATAGTGAAACAACTTCCTAGCCCCCCCACAATGCAGACAGGGTTCCCAATGGTCTCTTCTCAAAGGAATTTTTACTTTTACACCCTGAGCTGGAGATGGGTGTGGTTTTGCCAATTCTAGAGATGCCCTAAATCTTCTTTCCTATGGTCTCTTTGTAAAGTACTTAGCATCTCTTTAGTATTGCTAATGTATTTAACAACCACAACTTTCTTAGCCTCAGTTTTACTTATACTTTTTTAGCCAAACTTTTTTTGACCAAACAAGTTTTTAAAATCTTTCTGCTCTGCTTTCTACTCCTGATTATCACAGTAAGTTTGTCTAAATGCCACCAACAATATCCATGCAACCTCCTAAATGTTGTGCTGCCTTGAAATTTCCTTCACCAGATTAACTAGTATGTCACCTTTAAATTCAGCCTCACAGAAAGCCTCAAGACATGGACAAAATATAGACAATTTCTTTGTCAGAATGTAACATGAATGGCTTCTACTCCAATTGTTAGTCCAGTTCTCCTCCATTGAAACCTCATAAGTCTAGTATTTCCTGCCCAGAAGTCCTATCAGCATTYTGGTTTTCTGAGCTAACAGCAGAATCATCCATTAAGTTTTTCTTAAAACATCCTAAAGGTTCTCCATCTTGCATCTCTAGCCTTTTCAAAATTCCTCCCACCACAAACCATATCCAAAGACTTCTGAACCACATGGTCAGGTTATTCTGAGCAACAACCCCACTTCTGTGTACCAATTTCTGTTTAGTCAGCTTTTTCATTACTGTGATCAAACAACTGACAAGAACAGTACGGAAGAAGGAAAGTTTATTTGGTACACAGTTTCAGAGACCTCAGTTCATAAATGGCTGACTTCTTATATACCCCAAAGGCATGCACCTATCTTCTCCAGCTACACCCTGCATACAGTTACTACCCACCTAATCTAAATCAGTAATTTAACCCACTGTTTAGGCTACAACTGTCATAAACTAATCATTCCACCTCTGAACCTTGTTCCAATTTCTCACACATGTGCTTTTAGGGGACTCCTCGTATCTGAGCCCTAATACTGCCCAGGTAGGGAACAATTGCAAAAATATGCATCACTTGATCCTATGGTCTGTTTGCTTTATAAGAACACCTGAAACATGGCCAATCTATATATAAATACACCTGTTAAGTAATTTTATCAGGATCATAACTCCAGTTAGAGTTGAGCCTATAAGTCTTTTCTGCATTAATCTATATGAGAAAGAATGGGTGATACAGCTGTATTTTATGAACTGACATGTATTTTACAGTGAAAGTCTAATGATTGCAAGCATAAAATTGAAATAAGTAATTTGAAATTACCCATATGGCTGCCTATTTGACAATAAAAATAAAAACAGGAAGCTTGGGAAGAAAATGGATATTAATGAACATAAACCAATTACATTCCAAATAGAAATAAGGTAATTGAAAAGTTATAGCTGTGTAAATAATAAAAACCAAGACTTCCAGATTTTAAAATAAAGTATGATAAAAGAGGAATTATACATTTTCATGTAGTATCATATAGTGGGAAATGTACCTTTAAATTTTGAGATAGAATTATTAGAACTGGTTCACATTCATATATGATCCTTTGGGAATAAGTAATAAAAATTTAATCAGAAATAGAAAGTTTCCTGATATAAACTATTTACTCACAAAAGAAAAATTCGAAAATAATTATACAGCAAACAGGGCAACAAAATTAAAAATAACAATTCTAAATACTACTAGAAAAAAAGAAAAATAGTAGAATTAAACATCACTATGAAGTTAAAAAGGAAAATGAAAGCGAAAGAGGCAAAATTAATATAACCAGCAGATAAATTTCAAATACCTAAATTATTCTGGAGGGTTGGAATATCCTCTAATTTTCTTCCAGAGTCTTGTGTCAGAATATTAGGGAATATAGGCTTCAAGAATCTGAACTCATTACTCTCAGAGTCTCCTTTCAGGCACACCTCATACTGGTAGCTCTGAGACAGGGTCCCTGTGCTGCTGACATCCATCAGGTGTCCAGGAAAGTGGCCCTCAGGCACCGAATACACACCCAGTGGCGCCGCCCTGCGCCTCCTGCACAGCCTCACAACCACGAACACCAGCACAGAGAAGAGGAAGAGCGATGACACAGAGGCCAAGGCGATGACCAAGTAGACAGTGAGCGAGTC